TACAATAAAGTAAGTGATGTCTTAAAAGAATCTTTCTTATATATATATATATATATATGAATGAATGAAACTGTTTTAGTTCCGACAACACGTATTATTAACCAAGTGAGTGAGATGTTCTTTGTTTAAATAGCGTCGTAGCAGTTGGCGTGATACGATATTCAAAAATGGGGTGATCGTGATACTCTACGTCAGCTGACGTTTCCTGGTTGAACAAAAACAGCATGTAAGGGTCGGGAAAGGAGAAGGAACATTGTCGTGTAGGTGTCATATATAAACTAATGTTAACAAAAAATAAAAATAAAAAATACACTTTTTTAATTTATTTTATCTTTAGTTTTTTTTTTATACATTTGCAAAGGAATTATTGTGATCAATTTGATTTGCCACATTATTTTTTTGTCGATCTTATGAATAAAAACTCAAGTAAAAAAGAAACAATGAGTAGAGTTCTATTTATAAAAAATTAAATTAATTAAAAAAAGACCTTCATCAACATCTTACTTAAATTTTCACTGTTCAGTTTTTCTTGAAGGTGTTTTTAGTTTATTATCATAAAATCTAAATTAATATAAAAAAAATAGAGCATCCCATAACTAACAAAATTCGATAAAAACAAAGTCAACTTTTTGGGTTCTTTTTTTTTCACATTTCCTTCTATGAATTTTTTTGTTGACTGATTTTTAGTCATTGTGAGTTGATTTATGAAAAATAGGTGAAAAAAGAAACTATACACACAAGTGACAAAGGGCATTCATACACACAATGAAATTGAAATGGAGAATTCTGTTAAGAAGTTAATTTTCCATTCTGTCTGGCAACAAATCAAGATTTGTTGCTCATTGTCTGGCAACAACTCATGGGTAATGGAAAAGACAAGAAGCTGAAATGTGTGACCCTTTGAAGACATTTTTATGACCCCTTCTGTATTTAGGTTGAATTATATTTTCTAATAAATCTTGTATTCAAAATGTAAGATTTTGTAGATTTGAAATTTGATTATTTTGTCCTCACCATGAATGATAATAATTAATGAATAATTAACTTTACAGCAGCTTGTTTGGGAGTTTTTGAAATTAATCAAGTAAGCTGACATTTTGCAGTCACTGTCGTTTGATCTCAATCTTGGATTCAGGACTTTCATGATAGGTTCAATTTTTACTGTAAGTTAATGCTAAACAGAACCTTTACTTTGTGTCCATCTGTTTTACTAAAAACTATATCTTTATTTTTATTTATCTATTGTTAAAACATAGAGTATAAATGTTTCCTAACTAGAAACCTTTTCATTGCATTTTTTCAAGCCAACAGAAAATAAATTTAAAAATAATATTTTTGTGTTATGCCTTGGGGATTGGCAGTTAATCTTACAGAAACATTGCATTCTCAACAGCAATATGGTTTGGTGTAAAATTTGTGCTCATTGTTGTAATAAAAATCCAATTTTGTTAAGCTAATTTTCCATTCTGTCTGGCAACAACTTATGAGTGATGGAAAAGACAAGAAGCTTAAATGTGTGACTCTTTGAAGTCATTTCTATATTAACAAAATGGATGTAGGTATTTAAAATATTTTGTGAACTATCATTCCAAACAATGATAAAAATAAAGAAAATATGGTTATGCCTGTTAAATAAATTATTTGTATTTACAAACATATCTACATGAATTCTGAGTCAAAGAGGAATAAAAATAGTCTTTAGTTGAGTTAAAGTCTTTGGGTAGTTGGTGCACAGAAAAAGTTACAGTTGAGAAAAGGTTTTTAGTAGTTGGTCCATGGTAAAAGGCTGTGGTTGAGAAAAAATTCTGATCATCCACAAAGATTCACTGACCCACCCTGCTTTTGCTGTTGCTGCTGGAGATGATTTGTTTAAAGTCACCAACATAATTCTTTCAGTACACATTAATAATAATACTATTGAATATATGCAGTTTCAAATTCTTAAGGAAAATTAATGACCTTTTAGGCTTCCTCCACATGAATAGAAGTTCACTTTTTGAATAATAAGAATGTCATGGTGTGGGGGGGCATCAGGATTTTAGAGATGCTTAGGTGGGGCATGGCTGAAAAAAATTTGGGGATTTTCATTTTCATGCAATGATCATGTATTTGCACAAAAAGAAATTTAATGATATTAAGCATAAATCCATATTTTTATTACTGGAGATTAAATAACATACATATAAACAAACCTACATCTATAAATGTATGCATGCATGCATGTGTATATGATGGCTGTTTTCAAATATGAACATCACAAGAGATTGCAAGACTCAATTGTGACTCCATCTTGTAGCTTTTTTGATGAAACATTTTCACTATTATTATAAGTTTTACTGCATCTTATTATTGTGGCTTTTAGATTAAGCATTTTCATTATTATTTATTAGTTTTTCTCCATTATTATAACTTTTTATTACCACATTCTGAGACAGCAGTGCTAGAGATTTCTTACAAAATGTTAAAGTAGATAGATGCTCTGAAGCAGCAGGTGTTTTCCATCTCCTAATTGGATATCTTAATGAAGTGTAAGGAGGCCAACACTCCCATTGGGTATACCTGAACACCCACCCAATTATTTATACAACCTTAGGAGTTGATGGCAATTGATCCCATGAAAGGATTCATACACTCTTTGTCAGGTTTTGTTTTTAATCCTGTTGGATGTCTATCCACCCTCCTCACCAGAAAAGCCTGGTTGGAGAACTGTGTTAGTCAACCGACCATGTAGCAGCTAGTACTGGGTTATATGGTAACAATAGGACTTATAGAGAGTGGTGGCTATACATGCATACATTATGTACATATAGACAAACAAAATGATAATGCAGAAATTCCAATTTGATTCAAAGTAAACAATGTCAGGAAGTGGTTGCTTTCAGTTTTGCTATCAGATAGAATAATATTGTTATTAGCTTCTCTAGAAAGGAGTGACTAAGGACAAAAGGAACTAAATACAAAAGAATATCATTTTGTTGAATTAAATTTAGTCAACAGAAGAGATGAGACTTGGACTAATAATAGCATGTTTTCCACCCATAATAAAACATTTGAATAAGGTAGAATATGAATTTAAAATTTATTTCTATTAAACTGGGATTTAAAATATAAATGTTTCATTTTTATATCTATATTGAATGTTATTAAATGAAGTATGTGGTGTTATATTTGTTTTGTGTCGAAAATTTACTTCTAAGAACATGGTAAAAACTGACCATAAAAATAAATATTTTAGCTTAATATTTATAAATATATTCATGAACAAAATGACACTAAATGAAAAGGCAGTCATATTGATTAAATATTAAGGAATATTTTAAAATAATTGCACATAAAGCATATACGCATGTGTTTCTCTTTTTATATATATATATATATATATATATATATATATATATATATATGTATGTATGTATGTATGTATGTAGATTGAAAAACAAAGATTTAGAAAGTTTTAAAAAATTCATATATCAAAAATAAATATGATTTAAAAATTTTAAATATTATTATGGATTGCTTGTAATTGCATTCATGAGTCCCAATATATATAGTTATAAATAATTATTGACCAATTTTATCATTGTGATATTTTTGCATTATATCAAGTATTAAGAATATAGTGACTAGGTTCCACAAATTGAAGAAGAGAGTTATCAATAATAATGTTCTGACTTTTAATACTTGGTTCACCCCCTTTAGCCTCTCTCTCTATTTTCAAATATACTTTTTTCACCTAAAATTTGGTGAGGTGCAAGCAAATTTTCATTTAAAAAATGTGGCCCAGAGAAAAAAAGTTTGGGAACTACTGCCATCAACTATCAGAACTTCATAATTGTGTAACATTAAATGTAAATGTGGGATTCTTATATACCATCAAATGATATATATTAATTCTGTTTGTAACTATTGTGTTACATTCCTAATAACTTGAAACTTATCAAAAGTAGTTTTTCTTAACAATTCTATAAAAATGTTTTGTCTGTGTGTTTATGTTTTTAAAGAACAGCATAACTTTTATTATAAAACTATTTACAGATGCATATATTGGAAAACAATAAATAAATTTTTATATATCAAGAAAAATTTTAGAATAATCTATGACAAAATGGAAAAAGTTTTCGTGTGCTGTGTTTCGTCCCTTAGGACTTCATCAAACTAAAGTGATGTTTAAGTTGATTCAATTACACATGTGGAGAAGTGGCGCAGAAATTTTGAAATTAAATTTTTTTTTTTTTTAATATGTGTTTTGGGTATAGAGTCTAGCTGATATCATTTAGTTTCTTTTTGTTCACATTTCCATCACTTTCAATATTAAATATCCATATTTTGATAATAGATCTGCCAAGAAAGATGAAATGTAAGAACCTGAATATAAATTTACTGTGTATGATCTAGTGATTAAAGCACTTTTTATATATTTTTGTCTTAATAAATTGCTCTCTCTTTTAATTAAACTATAATTTTTTTAAATAAAAAATTATGGTCAGACTTATTACAGTGAGTAAATTTTTCCACTTTGTCATAGATTTTCCTAAAAGTTACACAGATATAGATAAGAGAAATTTAACCTGGAGTAAATGTCATTTACTGTAAGACTTGAACCTTTGACATATATAAATGAAACCAGTTTAAAATCTTTTCAACTTAATTCCTGCCCAAAAATTAACATTGCACTTTATTCAAAATAAGAGAAATGGTACAACAAATAAAAGGAAAAGATAGTCAAAAAAAAAAAAAAAAGTTGTTTGTTTCCCAATTCCAGAAAGGCAACCATAGGAATTGAGTCCAACTCTCCTTCAAGACATTTCAAATATGTTACAAAGTAAAAAATGTATCTGAAGCCCAAACTATTTTACTGTTAAACAACCCTCATTTGCAACAGACTGACACAGTGACCTTTGACCCAAATAAAGAAATCACATGTTGGTTCCATCATTGAAGAGTGAAAGATGAGTACAATTTAAAAATAGGTGCATATTCTTGCTTAATTTTATGTTACTTCACTTTTCTTTACAAAGTAGGCCAAGGATTTTTTTCTTGAGGTCTTCAAATTCTTCATGTGTAAAAGTCACAGACTCCAGGATCTCATCTATTTCTGATTGTGACATTCTCTCATATGAGTCTTTGTCTGTAAAAGAAAAGAAAAATATAATTCACACATTGTATTAGGAATACACTGTAAGTTAAGAAAATAAGAAAACATGTTCAACAGAATAACCAAATATGTTTTAGCTTTTAAATTTTTATCTAAAATTTGTCTCTTTTTCCATACAGGGTTACTCCAAAAGTTTCTGTTTTGGTTGTTAGATGTCATTAGGAGCATTTAGTTAACTTTATTAAAAAAAGGTCACATTGCAAAAAAGATTAATTGTTGTGTTTTGACATATCAACAAAAATATTTTTTAAAATATAAGGCTTGTAAACAATCATTTGGATCATTGTTTCCATCACTCTCTAGTTATGCCTCTAGAATGTAATTATTTAATGCTACAATTTGTGGTATAGTTCAACCTCTATCAAGTTGGCTATGATAGTCTCTGCTTTTATCATATAGACTAGTCATATAAAAAAATCAGTGATGCATAAGGGCAAGGTTATTAAAATCAGTTAGAATATGTTCATTTTTTAGGAGAAATGAGTAAGTGATATAGGTGTTACCTATTCTGGTTCTTTATAGGACAACTTCTTCCTTCTGAGAAAGACTGAGTTTTATGACATTCTCCTACAATTTTGTAAAGTTTGTTGTTTGGATGATAGTTTCATAACACTTGCCACTTGTTTCTAGTTGCTTTATGGTCTGATAAGGGGATTTTCAAATTTGAAATGTTCACTTTTTAGGATTCCTTTGCTGCCATGTCAGCTTTTCCATTTTTCCATTAAAAAAGTTCACATTTGTTTATAGTGTGACAACTGTCCTGTCAATGTGTATTTGTTGCAAAAAATTGTCAAATTTGGTGTATGTTTACTGATTGATTTCCTCATTGAAGATAAAACATTTTTGGCATATCAAACTTTTATTTTAAAGAAAGGTAAAAATTCACTTCAAATGCAAAAAGATTTGTGCCATTTATCGAAACACTTCTGTGAATGATCATCTACATCAAAAGTGGTTTAGAAAGTTTTATGCAGTAGATTTCTTACTGAATGATAATTTATAGTCAGGCAGACCATTTGAGGTTGATTGTGATCAAATAAAAATATTATTTGAGAATAAGCGACATTATCAAAGATAGCCAATATACTCAAAATATTTTAAAAAAGTATTGAAAATCATTTGCATTAACTTGGTTATATTAGTCACTTTGATGCATAGCTTCCATATAAGTGAAAAAAACTATTAGGCCCTATTTAAATGTACTATTTTTGAAAGAAATTGTATTGGGAAATGAAAAGTGGATACTTTACAACAACATGGAATGCAAGAGGTCATGGTGCTAGTGAAATGATCAACACCACAAATGTATGTCTTTATACAAGTGTTCAAAATCATTTGCACTAACTTAGTTATCATAGTTGTTTTGATGTATCCCTGCTGCATCTGGTTCACTATTTAAAAAGTGAAAATATTGCATTTTGTGAAACAAGTTGTATTGGGTAATGAAAAGTGGATACTTTACAACATGAAATATAAAAGATCATTGGACTAGTGAAATGGATTATTACAAATGTCTGTCTCTATACAAAAAATGTAGATGCTATATATTTGGTGGGACTGGAACTTTATTAGGACTTTCTTCCATAGAATCAAACAAATGATTTGAATAAACACTGATGCTCTCAATTAGACCAATTGAAGGCAACAATTAACAAAAAGCAATTACAAAGCATCTGTAATTATTTAAGAGAACAACTATAATATTCCACCAAGATAATTTTAGGTTACATGATTTTTTGAGACCAGGCAAAAATTGTTATAATTGCTTGGAAAATTTCCATTTATATTCCACATTTAGCAAATATTAAATGTTCAGATTACAATTTATTCTGGTTGTTATAGAATTCTCTTAATGAAAAAAAATTTATTTTCCTAGGAGACCATTCCTAGAGTAGTTCCTTGCTGAGAAAGAATATTCTTGGAGAATAGAATTATTAGGTATCCTGAAATATTGTAAAAAATAAATGTAACAAAATGTTAAATATATTGTTTAATAAAGTTAATATTTTGAAATATCTTTTATTTTTATGTAATAAAAAACTTTTTTAAGGTACCTAATAAATATTTTGATTTATTGAATTCCATATTGCATATAGAAAAACTTGTCAAAAGAAAGTCTGAAAATTTTATCCTGTTGTATATGAAACTGAAGATATGTATAACAATTATTAAGTATGCAAAAAATATTTATTGTTAAATATTTTCTGTTAATAAAGAAGTGGGTCTTCTAAGCCTATGTACTCTGTATGTCATTGTAAATTATAAGTTATAGATAAATAAAGTTATAATTTTTGTTATGATTTTTTTTTAATTTTGCATAAATATTAACATTAAATAATTAACATTGTCAAGTTATGTGTTTGAATAGAAGAATTGTTTAAAAATTTTGATAATTAATAAGACTTAATTTTATGTTTGTTTTTGTAATGTTAGAGTACAAAATATTTCTTAAGGACCTATTTCCTATATAGGATTTAGATTTAAAAAAAAATAATTTGAAAGTTTTTATCTTGAAATTTGGAGCTGAGAATAAATCTTGTGTTTTGCATGGATTCTTTTTTTTTTTTTTAAATTTGTCACTTCTGTAGTACATTCTAGTTTTGAGCCACAATGGAGGCACTTCTGGCCAAGTGTGTGGCTTCTCTGTCATTCAGAATTGTCCACCAAAATCAAATTCACACAATTGGAATTGTCAAACTGTCTTTGCTTTCTTGTAGGCACTGACTAGAGTAGTCTGACAAGACATTCTAGTACATTCCAACCTCTTTAATCCATGTTTGGAAGCATTAATGTTTGTTTCATTCCCTCTTTTAAGCTTTATTCTACCTTTGATAACACAGCAATATATATGTAGAATGCACTGGCGAGACTATGTTTACATAGGTTTTCTTTTTAGGGTAATTTCTGTCAACCAGCATTTTCTGTGGTTTGATCACAAAGGTGTTGATTTAAAGAGGCTGACTGAGCTCTAATAAATTTTCAAATGGAGACTGTCTGATATCACTTCAATTTACAATTTTCAAGTTACAAAAAACAAAATTTTTGTATGTTTTATTTTTTTGTATGTTTTATATTTCTAGATAGGTTGATGGGTGGCTTCTCCTCAAAGAGATTTGATGCTCTCGAACATCAAGAGAAACTGAAATAGACTACCATTTTCCACATAACAAGTAGAGGAAGGTCTTTGAAGAAATATAGTTTTATTCAATACATCAAGAGAAACAATTTATTAGGTTTATTCAATAAATGATGCTAGCATTTGAAAATCATTGGATTTGAACTTGGAAATAACTGAATGAAAACTGATTAAAACCAAGTAATATTTGAACATTTCATGTCACCCAACTAATCCTTTCCCCACAGAAGACTCAAAGATTTGACAGATACAGGCCAGATGATATATTCAGCAAAATAATTAGTTCCTGAAAACAACAAAAAATGAAGTTAAATTCTGAATACTATTCAACTAATTTGATATTTTCTTTGGTCAATGAAAATGTGTGATTCATTTAAATCTCAGTTTCAAATTAGATCAGTAAAAAGTGTCATGGTCAAACATTAATATTTAACTTGTGATTTTGTGGATCAGTATGAAATATAATACTTGAATGATTCAATTTTTTATTTAAATGAACACATGGCAGCTGTGGGGCCAGTTACCTTTTGAATTCCAGTAGAGTTGCTGTTCAGACCAATGGCAATAGGACTCTGGTGACTTCAAACCAACAGATAATTACTGTACCATTGACTTCAGAAATTAGTGCCTCTTGGAAAATTCCAGACATCACCAACAACAAGATGCTAAGGATTGAAATTTCTCATTCTTCAAATTTCAAAGATACAAGAATCTAAAAATTATCTAACCAAGATGATATGAGTAAAAAATTTGAATCTAGTAGCAACAATTTGTAAAGAAGAAACATTTATATTTGAGACTAAATGGAAAGGCCTACTCTTAAAAACAACATACTTCTCATGAAAAGTGTTATACATAAGACTAGAAGTAGGTAAGTCAAACTGTAGGGTAAACCCTCAGATAACTGAATGATAAAAAATAACAAAAATTGTTTAAGTTAACAATTGTAGTTATAGTAGAAATATATATGTATTATTTATCAGTAAGCTTTACTGAATTCTGCATATCAACAGAGCTCTCCTGAATATGTGTTCAGGGCAGATTCATTAATGTAGGAGATGTCATACCATATTCTCCCCTGCCTTATTCTTACAGAGTAAAGAAGTCCCTGAATTGAGCAGCCATTCTTTTGCTGTCTGTGAGGCCATGGCAGAGACCCAGGAGCATGATGTCTTCCTCTTTCTTGCTAGAACTGGATTTAATCTTGCTGCATTTTTGTAATCTTCTACAAGTGGATTGCTTGTCCTCTGACATATCAGTAGATGGGTGGGTCTTTTCTGTGAAACCTGTTCACCATTTGAGGGTTCCACAAGGGTTCCTCGTAATCTTCATAAGGAGACCATGTTTCTGTTTCTTTGTAGTCAGTCGAAGTGTCCTGAGGACAGCTCTCACTTAGGCTTGTGGGTCTTGATTCATCCTCTGCTGGAGCAAAGTCCTTTAGTGAGACTGTTTTCCCATCCATCAGGGTAATAGACATGCACATACTGGAGGTTGGTGTCTAGAAGCTCCACTTGATTCACCTGTGGTTCATTCTTATTCAGATAATTGTGTTGTTTTAGTAATATAACTCTGGTTTAAGAGCCAAGATGGTAGGGATGCTCCAGTCAAACTTCTAGGAGATGAGAGGAACTGTTCTCAATTCTCTAAAGTTACTCCTTTATTAGCATCTGCTAATTGAAGAGTTTTTCAAATTATTCCATTATAACTCTCGCACTGGCCATTACCTTGAGGGTCATATGGGGTTGTTCTACTTACAGCTACTCCTTGCTATTGTAAGAATCACTGTATGCCCGTAGGTATATCCTCATCTGAGTTCCTCTGCCCGAAGCAGAGAGGTCAACTAGCAGAATGAATATCAGCAGAATTCTCCTGAATATATGTGTTCAGGAGAGATCCATTAATGATGGAAATGGCTCATACCACAGTAATAGCCTCTAAATCATGAAGATAGGAGTGACCAGCTCTGGCCAACTTGCCACAGTTCATTTAACTATTTTTCCCTAACTCAAACAGGCTTATTCTGTAACTAGAAACAGTCAACCATAAAAATTATATTTGATTTTAGCAATCATTAAGCTAAAGTATAATTTAGGATGAGACCAGGTATATAACAATTTTTTAGGTAAAATAAAATGAACATTTCAATTGTGTTTAAATCAAGCTTGTTTATTTTTTGTGAATTTTGCTACTGAGAAAGAACAATTAGCACAATGGTTGATAATTACAATTCATGTAATAATTCTCATTTCTGCTGAGACCTGGGAAGAACTGAACAGCTCATGTGATGATGTCACCCTCACAGTTCAAAATTAACTGTCTTTTCATCCCAGTGATGAAAAACATTAGTTTGGGATAACTAGTTATTTGGGGATGGGGGGATGATGTCAGGATGATATAATATTTTAAATTAAAATTCTGTTATTTTTTCTAAAAGTAACTAATTTCTTAAAATTAAAAGAAATTCTTATTTCTCACCAACCATGGTAAGCCTTTAATAAATGGTATGAGTACACACACAAACAAAGCTTAAGCACATCTTTTTAAACTGATGAATGAAAATCTCGATAAAAAATGAAGGTTGAAGGACTTAAATTTAGATATTTGTATTATTTATCTCATTGTAAAAACTAATTTTGCTTTAATAAGCAAAGGAAGAAAATTATATTTTTACTGTTGATTTTTGGTTAAGAAACTTGAATGTACATAAACAGTTGTGTATTATGTTTTCTGTTTATCCTAAACTAAATTGAAAATACAAGGGAGAATTTAAAAATTGATAGACAAACATGAAAAATTTAGTCACAATACGAGGCAGATCAAATTGTAAATTAAAATCTTTTGATAAAAACTTTAAAAATTGTTTGCTTGTAAATAATTGAAATGTGCTAATATTCCATATATAGAAAATGAATGCATAAAGTACAATTCTTCAAGTATGATAAAAGTGACTCTATGAGTGAAAATTAATTAAAGAGAACATTTTCATATAAAATAATTGAATGTGATTTAATCAGAATGCTTAAATAAAAATAAACTTGTGATTTATAAAAAAATTGCAGTAAAATTTAATTTAATGTATTCTTGCATTTATTCATGTTTAAAACTTTAATATTTTTAATTTTTTATTTCCTAAATATTTTAATGATGCTTTTATTATGTTACTAATTATTAATGATAAAGTTTAAAAAAGAACGTTGGATTTTGGGACAGTTTGACATTTTTTGATGATGACTAAAGTTGTTTTTCAGGATGGTTCTGAAACAATGGTGAAAAAAGTTAATCTAGAGCACTGGCCACTCAAATCAGACACAATGTAGATAGAGAAGGAACTCTTGTTCTTTTATCAAACTACGACTGAACATCTAACAATACTGATTCAATGATTTCCCTAGTTTTGCCAGACTGGGGCGGGTTCATTATCCACCTCTTATTACAGAGTTAAAAAAATAGGAAATGCATTTTTATGGTAATCACATGAGGCTTTATAAAAGATTTAATATGCAGAAAAATATTTAATTTGGAGTCAGGCGATAGAAGCCAAATAATGACACATTTGAACATGGTGTTTTAATCAACAGGTCAAGGTCAAAAACTAGTAAACTGGTAATATGAATAATCAGTTATTTAATTAACTTTTTTAAGAATGAATAAAACTTTTTCAAATTCAGTTGTTTGTATTGTAAAAGTTTATGACATTATTGTGTTGACAGCAAGAAATTGTGTAATAGATTTATAGAAAGATTATTCACAGCATGTTTGTACATACATGTCAAATAATTGCTTTAACTTCATTTTAATAGTGATTTTTTCAAATCCCACATTAATAAAATAGGAAGAGTATAAAAACTTTATTTTTATTACTGTTAGTTTTTAGTATAATAAATAAATGTTTAATCATCTAGGTTGATTTTTTTGTACACATTCTTTTGAAAGAAGTGTATTTTTAAGACAGCCAGACAGTTTGTGAACACATGTATATCTTTTAGTCTCAATGGTTTAAAACAGCCAAAATTGCTAAGGATTCATTTCCCCTCTCCACCAACTTAACTAGGTATTGAACTTACACTCTTTAGGTCCTGTCACTGGTTATAACTAACACCTTTTTCCATTGCCCCATGTGTCCTTGAGGATATCTGTGTATGAATTTCTGGGTATTATAAACCTAATGTCTTCAGCAATCATTTTTTTACCAGTGCTCACATTGCAATTTTGCTGTTATCATTTCATGTTTTTTACCAGAGCTCATATTGCAATTTTCGTTGTTGTTATTGCTTTTCTCTGGCACTCCTTATAACTGGTACTGCTTATACTGACCAATTCTTTATCTCATGTCTCTGGTTGGTTCACCATTTATGACTTTTGCTTGGTGTTGTAAGCATTACAAAAATCTCCTGAACTGACCAAGCATAGAAATGAATACAATTTTAGAATAGTCAAGCATATTGTTTAAACTTGATTACAGAAAGTAACCTTCAAAATCTCATGATCCCTCATTATGATTAAGTATTTTAAATGTAAACTTTTGGGAAAAGGATTAATGTCTTATTAGGTGAAATATAGAAAAGAAACATTTTAATTTTCACATTAACTTTATTAAACAATATATTTACTGTTTTGTTACGTTTATATCTACCGTAATTCATGCAACTTTGTAATTCCATTCTCCAAGAATATTCTTTCTCAGCAAGGAACTACCCTAGGAATGGTCTCCTAGGAAATTGAACTTTTTTTTCATTAAGTGAATTCCATAATAATCAGAATAAATTGTAATCTGAACATTTAATATTTGCTAAATGTGGCAGATAAATGGAAATTTTCCAAGCAATTATAACAATTTTTGCCTGGTCTCAAAACACCATGTGACCTAAAATTATCCTGATGGAATATTATAGTTGTCCTCTTAACTAATTAAAAATGCTTCTTTAATTGCTTTTTGTTAATTGTTGCCTTCAATTGGTCTAATTGAGAACATCAGTGTTTATTCAAATCATTTGTTTGATTCTATGGAAGAAAGTCCTAATAAAGTTCCAGTCCCACCAAATATCTACATTTTTGTATAGAGACAGACATTTGTAATAATCCATTTCACTAGTCCAATGATCTCTTGCATTCCATGTTGTAAAGTATCCACTTTTCATTACCCAATACAATTTGTTTCACAAAATGCAATATTTTCACTCTTTTTAAATAGTGAACCAGATGCAGCAGGGATACATCAAAACAACTATGATAACTAAGTTAATGCAAAAGATTTTGAACACTTGAGTTGGATACCTTGTGTATGTTGATTATCTCTTGTATTGTATAATGATTATTTTTCAAATAATATCTTTATTTGATTGCTATCAACTGCCAGTGGTTTCCCTGACTATGAATCATCATTCAGTATGAAATTTTGCAAACTTTTTTTTTACATGTTCACTCACTCACAGTACCTTTTCCATAAACTGTTTTTTATGGTCAAATCACACTGAAAACACTGATTTTTGTTCAATTATTATAGTTAAGTAGTGTTGAGCCCAGTCAGTACTTAGGGGACAGTTTGGGAACACCGGGTACTGTAAGTGACCTCCTATAATCTAAAATATGTTTCAGCTTTCAATAACCAACAAAAGGTTGAAAATCCATAACAAAATCAAATCACTCAATTCGTAAACTGTCACAATACATTCAAAAGCAATCTTTTGGGATAAAGTTAATTAAAACTAAATGCTCCTAATGCCATCAAATGACAAAAATAAAATTAACATTTTGATGAACCCAATATTTGATAAACAGAATTAACTTTTTAGACTACCCAATTCAATTTACACACTCAAGAAAATAAATGAAAAATCCTGGAAGATATTTTTTTAAATTTATAAACAAATAAAGTTTTGTAAAAAAAAAAAAAAAAAATGGAATTCCTTATTTCATAATTTATACTGAAGAATAATTCATACCTTTAACAGGTAACTGACCTCCCATTTCAACAAGAGCCACATTGACATGTTCAAATTCTTTGGCTCCTGTAATAAGAATAATAAAAGAATCAGAAGTTAATAAAATTAGAGGTATTTTTAGCATTTCTGAAAATACATTTTAGAAATAATAAAAAGTTTATTAATTAATTAATTATAAACAAATATTTACAATGAGACCAAGAAATAATTTTGGTGTCAACAGTAGATGGGATTGCTATAACAACTTCAAGTAAAATAAAAATTTTCACCAAATAAATTGTTCTTTTTTATTTTATATATTATCACAATGTGTAACTTGGATTAAAATCAGTTTTTTCTCCATTTCAGTTATCCTCTTTACAAAAATAAATATAATTTTTCAATTTATACACATAATTCATAATTTTTCTGTTCATCAGAAGGAAATTTGGCATATCCCTTCTACATATGAATAATATAAACATTTTTATTCTTTTAATTTTATCAGTTTTCCATGTTTTGATATAGCAAGCAGGTTCTTATTGAAGATTATCTCTAGTAGCACTTGCACAAGCAACATGATGGCATCAAGTATAATGTGATTGTGTAACGTTGGTGAGTATGAAGTTCTTAATTCCCATTTCTGATTTGCTTGGGTGAAGATTGCATCATATTTGTTCAGTATAGAAAATGATCATAATGCATCTACAGTAAAAAAAAAAATGCCTCATTACTCACTTTTGAATAACTTATAAATGGTATATCCGAGATTGTGTGTGTATATATTTCTAAGGAATTAATGGATTTATTTTTAATCCACATTTCTTATTACTTCAAACCTTATCATAGTGGATACTCATATTTGAAATAAATGCTCCATTTGTATTTAAGAAATGTGTATTAAGTCTGTCTCGACCTGAACTATTAGCAGCATTTAAGAAGATGTGTTCTTTAACAGGTATCAAACTTGCATCCCCCTTTCTAGGGGAAACTAATGCTTGATCCCACATGCTTTACCTCTCAGACACAAAGAACGTCACAGTAAGCAAGGCTCTATTTTTAAGGAAAGCTCATCTTCTTCACTCAGATTATTTTTCCCAAAGCTTCATATCTACTCAGTTTTGTATCCAGGAATGTAAACAAAGCAATTTCTAAAGAATTAATGGATTTATTTTTAATCCAAAAATTTTTACTACTTCAGCAATTATTATAGTGGACACTCATATTTGAAATAGAAGTTCCTATTTTTATTTTATTACAGTGTGTATTAGGCTATTGGTCATAGCCAGACTAGAATAGACACTGTTTAAAATAAACATGAGGTGTTTATTTCAAATACAAGCATCCACAATAATAACGTTTGAAGTAATATATACAAACACATTTTATTAAATTCAACTGACAATATGTGTTGGCTTTTTTATTAAAGATTACATATAAGTTGTCACACATCTGGATAAAATTTGAGGAAAAACTATCATAATGTTTTTGTTCAAGTACTTTTCACTATCTCTAGTCACCAGGAACATTAATGTTATTGAGAAAAGTTTTTTTTATCTTCATCCTGGTATTTCAAGAGCCCTACATTTCTAATTCAAATATATAGGCGTCACAAGTGACATCATGTGTAGGATGTTTTTGCATTTTTTAAATTAGTCTCCTAAAACAAAAAAGTCACAAAACTTGATAGTGATTGAGAACAAGGAAATTATTAAATTTAAAAAAATATTTTTTAAATTTCTTCCCCCTGAGAAAAGACATTATTGTTAATGTAGCTTTGTTTCTTTTGTAAAAATGATAGCTTGGAGTATTTTGATACTGCCTTTACTGTGAGTGTAGTACAGTATTTTAGTTAATGGGTGCTAATCATCTCAGAAAAAAAAAAAAGAAAAGAAAATTCTTTCCAATCAATTTAAATTAGTTTTTGAAATACAGCAAAGTATTTTGCTTATTGGAAATATTAAATTTAATCTATTAACTTGAAATTAAAACCAAAATAAAAGCTTCAAGAAAGGTTTTTCATTTTTAAAAATTCATTTTAAATCTTAGATATCATTTTGTATGAAGGTAAATAATTTTAGTATTATCTATTAATGTTAACAGACATATTTTGGTTGTTTCTTTAAAAGTTGTGTATGTGTATTGTGGTGTTAAGGACATAGGCTCAAAATGAGATATGGGAGATCTGAGTTCAAATTCCAGTAAGGTTTGTTACAATCACTTGTGCACAAATACCCTTGGGAAAGGTATTAATCCATTTCTCTATCGAATCTATGGGCAGATGAGCAGAACAGACTGAGTCCTATAGCCTTGGTTAGCAATCATTCTAACTCAAAAAGAAATGGCAACCTACTGTGGGAAAATCTTCTGCCTCGTCAGTCACAAATAAAAAAGAGACATGGTCGCCCAAGTGCGTATCAAGTATATTGTTAGAAAACATAGAAATTTGCTGTCAGATATGAAAAATACAATTACAAGGCAAACAATGTTTCCTAAGTGTTCACTTTAAAATACCTCATATATATATATATATATATATATATATATATATATATATATATAAATACATATATCAAAATACAATAATGACAGAAATCATCTTGTGTATGTATGTGCATAAATAAAAGAAATTAGGTTAGTTGTGTGTGCATATAATTGCTACATTAAATACAATAAAACCCAAATCAATCAACAAAGTTAATGCTTAGTTCTTCTTCTTCCAAAACCTAAGACTATAAGTGATTCTATTTCTAAGGATATTGTAGCAGAAAAAAAACTGGTCGAGGTTTAAGTTTTATGACTAATGCATTTCAAACTTTCAAAGAACAAAACACATAGCAATTTTTTGCCAATTAATTATAATGTCTCTCTCTCATATATATATATATATATATATATATATATATATATATATATAGATACACCTAGTGAGCCAGACAAACCTACCTAGGTTTCATCTAAACGGATCGTCAGGGAAAGCTTGGCTAATGAGGCAAAGGGAAACACATATATTTATATAGACTTTCAACTAATTCCTCTAATAGGGACATTTTTGAAGCCAACAAAATAAGTTATGAGCAAGCCCTAATTAAGAGTGGACATAAAAATAAATTAGAATATATAGACAACCACAATATTACTCGGAATAGACATAATAGGCAAAGAAAAATTTTGTGGTTTAATCCCCCTTTCAATTTAGCGGTAAAAATCAAAATTGGTAAGATATTTTTTAATTTATTGGAACAACATTTCCAAAAAAAAACTGAGTTACATAAAATATTTAACAAAAATAATGTAAAACTTAGTTATTGTTGTATGCCGAATGTAGGGACTATTATAAACGGATTGAATAAGAAAAAAACTAGGAATGATCCACGTAGCAATCCTCCTACTTGTAATTGTAGAAACAAAACATCTGTCCATTACAGGAAAATGCCAGCAAGAATGCGTGGTGTATCAAGTGAAGATTTACAAAATAGTGAGGATACTAACCCTAAAACATACATAGGTGCTACTCAGGATAAATTTAAGAAAAGATATTATAACCATACGAGTAGTTTTAAGAATGCAAAATTAAACATAGTACCACGCTATCTACCTACGTATGGAAAACCAAACAAGATAATATAGACCCCATCCTTAAATGGGAAATATTAAAAAATGCCAAAAATATAAAGCAGGCCATAAATTTTGCAAATTATGTGCTGAGGAGAAATTAGCCATAGCTTTATATGATCGCCCTAACCAACTATTGAACTCTAAAACTGAAATTCTCAATGTATGTAGACATAAAAAATCATGGCTACTAAATTAGACATTTTTCCTGTTACTGACTTTCCACTGAGGATTTTTTTTTTTTTTTTTTGTTGTTGAATAAATATTTACCCCCCACTGTCTAGGTTGTTGTGTTTTTTTTTTTTTTTTTTTTTTTGTCACGTGGTATGATTTTACCTATAAATATATGTGTTTCCTTTGCCTCGTTAGTGAAGCTTTCCCTGACGATCCGTTTAGGTGAAACCTAGGTAGGTTTGTCTGGCTCACTAGGTGTATCTAGGTTTGCTCTACGATTGTATTGAGCTCTTTGTTAGTTAGTTGTTACTATCGGGGTTTTTTCTTTGGGCTTCAGACCTGCATCTATGCGATTTTTTGTCGGCAGAAGTTCATGTTTGTAGCTCTTTCTTTTTTTAAAACTTTTTTTTTCTCGAAATTGATTTGATTAACAAATCAAAAATTCGAGGGTTTTTCAAAACGAGTCTAGTTATTTATATATATATATATATATATATATATATATATATATATATATATATATGAGAGAGAAAGAGAGAGACATTGTAATTTAATTGTAATATATACTCATGTTCCACAATCTGTGCATGAATCTGCGATTGGACAACACATTTTGGAGAATGAGCTATGCTCTTCCAAATTTTCTATCAACTTAGTCTCTATTTTGCATAAGGCTCATTCCAAACACCATTTGCAAGTGTTGAATACATGTACAGTAATTTGTTTTAATTCATAACTAATTATTAAATAAATAAACTAAAGTATACTTCAATAAACCAAATGTTCAATAGAATGCTAGGATATTGTTACTCAGTAAACAAAATTCTGTAAATAAAAAAAAAACAAGAAAACATAAAAGCTTTTTCACCCTCCCCTCGGAATCCCCTTGGGGGGAATTCACCCCTGGTGGAGAATTCCTGGTCTAAGGAATGTATGAAAAATTTCATAAGATATATGAGGGAGTGCTGAAAAGGCCCTAAAATCTGACCAAACATCAGATTTTTTTCTTTTGGAAGAGTTTCAGTCCCCATCTCATGTATGTGATACAAAAAAAGGTATTTTATGACAAGGAATCATTTTTGGAATTTTTTGCACCTCTACAAATAAGCCTAATGAAAAATCTTAAGAATATTTTATAATTTCTTTTTAACCTTTTTATAAAGAAAGCATGTTCTAGTTTCATTAGCCAGATATGTCAGACTCTTAAAAATGATCACATAGGCATGTGTTTGTTTTCCCACTTGAAGAAAAAACAAAAAAAAAACATTTTTCACTCCATTCCACTCCACGCTATGAACTGCAAGCTGGCATATCAGCTGAAAGAGAAACACACACTTCATCAAAGACTATACTGAATTTCTCTTTAACCAACTTCACTTTGATGCACTTTTAGAAACATCTCATGACTAATTAAAGCCTGACTTCCACTGGTGACAATATCAGTATTGTATCAGCTGAAATTTTTCTTAAATTTTTAAATATATCTCATCATTTTCTGCTTTGGTTCTAAACATTAAACATCACTGGGATTTATAACTCAACATGACATACAAGTATTAGGTTGAGTCATAAAGAATTCCCATTTTTGTTTATTAACTTTATTTTTCAAGATATTACAATTGGTTCCTGAAAACAGAAATTACTTAAGACTCAACCTAATATTTATTTGACCCAAGCATATAAAATTTGAATGGCTTTCTTTTCTATTTGGTTGGGTTATAAATAATTTCTGGTTTTGTTTATCAACTTTATTCTTCAAAATATTATAATTGTTTTCCAAAAATGGAATTAATATAATATTTACATCAATTATAAGAAGATGCCTTCCTCATTTGTGTAAAAACAACACAAATTGGAGGAGTCCCTGGTCTAGTTAGAAAACAGATAAACTTAAATTGTAATTTAGTGTTAAAGAGTTTGGTTGTTTCATAAATGTGACCAGCAGCCAAAGTAGGTTTAATTGAATGAGTATCATTATAATAAAAAATGTGAGAACCTAATTACATAATAAAAAATTTCAATAATGAAAGTTTAAATTTTCTTGCCTTTGAATTTTCTTCTTGGCCACAAATAGGCACAGACTGTATTTTTACAATTTCCTATACATGTTCCAAGCACAGATCCACGAGACATGAGAAGGTTGTGTGCAATCTCAGCTTCCTGGAAGAACTTTGTTATGGTCTTTATTGTTCTGTGTGGAAAGTGAGAGAGACAAAATAAGAAGATATTATACATAAATGTTACACAAGTGATGTTTAATTTATGTTATTCTTTAAGAGAAACATTTTTTGCACAATGGTAGAAAAAACAAGGCTTAAAAAATAAACATGGAGGGGAATGCATTGTCACAAGTATGTCACTTATCTGCATTAGATTGAAATCTTTTCTCTTCATATCAGATTTTTTAACCAATATACAACAATATAAGCAAAAGATAATCTGTGACACTGGTAAAAGAAAAGGGTTAATTTAGAATATGAATTGGAACAGATGAAAAGGGTTAACAGCATGAATAACATAAAATATAAACTGAAAGAAGGAAGAAAAAACAGGTAAAAAAAATGGCTTTACTGGTTTTGAGAAAAAGATATTATCGAATGGCCACCTGGAAAATTTAAACCCACAAGGGCTGGTGAGAAATAGTGAAAGTACTCTCAAAATCAGTTGAGAATTTTGAAAATAAAGCAAAAATGGAGAAATTATTTTATGTCTGCATACTAAAGTGCCTCCTGATTGCCAAGCAGAAGAAGAGGTCAGTTGAGATATATTTGGTAATTTTGAAGACAAATGCAGAATCAAGAAACTGATTTATACCTACCTATTGAAAAGTGGGAAATGTAAACAACTCAAGAAATAGGATTTTTTTGAGATAAGAAGCAAACCTGTAAGGTTTATAAGTACGATTAAGCGAATGAGGTATGGAGAAAAATACTTGCTAATAGCTGTTGTAAAAAAACAGCTAGTAAATTTTTGATTATGTAGACAAAACCAGGAGCTACAGAAAAATTCATTGTTGAAAATTAAAGATAATCACAATTAATGACTAAAAGTTAAGACCACCTTTTTGTCTACATGGTTTAAAAATCAGATTTGTCAAAAAGACAGCCAAGGTCATGGGCTTAGATGAGATACTAAGAGAGATGGAAAAATTACCTACGCCCACTGGGAAGTAATGGTGTGGGGCATAAATAAGAAAAGACATGAGTCATATGGGCGGGCCAATACCTGCAACCACTACCCATAGGAGAAAGAGATCTCCCAAATTTGGAGAGATAATTAATTTCATGAACCAGACAACAAAGAACTTTTGTTCAAATTGATACAGAAATCTGGGGAACCCCCAAACACTATCAGCCCCCACAACAGTCTTGAATCAGAGTCAATGTAAGCAGAGCGTTTAAGTGATCTAGACAGTCAGAGAAACGCAAACGAGAAAAGACAGCAGTAGATGAAAATGCTGCTGAGACCCATGTGACTTGCTGCCAAGAGAATTCATGACAGTCCAGTTCCAAAAGTTAGCAATGATAGGCAAAGTGTCGCTAAAAAAGATTTTAGTGAGAAGGATTAATTTTTGTTATACCAAGAACTACATAAAACCAAATTGAAAATTAATGCAAAGACATTTTCGTTTTTATTACAGCTGTAAAGACATTTCTATTTTTTCATCATCATAGCACAGCTCACCATGATCTGAATCATCACTACAATTGCTGACATTAATCGATTCCTACCAGCTCAGTGATCAAGAAACACAACATGGGTGGAGCAAGGTGTGGACCAAAGTGGACAGCAACCAATGACCATCAACCTGCAACAGTATCAGTTTGTGGTTGACCCAGAATCAACCACTGGGGTGCTGTTATAAATTTACAATGATCAAAACACATTTGTAGAATAGTATGGGATTCATACCAGGAAATACCAGAAGTTTGAATTGAATTTAATCTCCATCAGGAACATTTGATCTAAGGAGAGTTGATCTGTGGTGACCCCAATATGTACTGGGCTCACTCAAAGAGATATCAGTAAGATTTGTACTTGGTGTCACCTCAATACATCAAAAGACTTAGATGCCTCCAAAGTTGATCTAAAAGGTGACCTCAAAGCCACCAAGTATAGAATTGTGTTTTGAAGTATACACCAACACAAACCAAAAGTGAACCCAACTGCACTTAGGATATACATACACAAAACAACCAAATGACTGGAAATTATAAATACCCAACTCATGAGGGGACAAGAGAAACTCTCACATCCTTACAAGAAAAGTTTGAAGAAAGACTTGAGACCACGTACCCTCTATTGCTACCATTGATTTGATGGAGTCCAGAAGTGAATAAGCAATGATTTTATGCATAAAAAATGTAATCTCATATTCTTATCATTTCAGTAGAAATAACATTATAACATTCCAGTAGAAACCTTGAATATATTGAATACAGAATAAGAAAAGAAAATATATTAATTAGTCTCAGCTATGAATTTATATATACTTGATGAAATATACCATCTTCAAAAGTCACAAACTCTCCTTCTGGTTCTTTCTGTTTTGATTTTTAATTTAATGCTGTTATTTAATAACCACTGGTATTTCAAAAAGCAAAATTCCAGATTTCTTCAAAGTCCAACAATTGAGCCTGATTAATTGTCATTGAATGTCAGATTTTATAAAGCTAAGAGAACTATTAATATATCTGTAAGCTTCAAGGTAATATGTAACAGCCTAGTGTAATGTTCACAGCCTGTGAAACCATTGAAAAGTGACTGAAATCATACCACATCGCAATGAGTGAAATTGAGAAGATGAAACTGTTTGGAAGCAGTCTGTGGTTGTGATAGCATGAAGTCACAAGTCCTCACCTAAGCCATAGTTGGCATTCTATCTAAAGATAGTATCTTGATAAAAACACTGACCATTCATTGGCAAAAAAAAAAAACAGAAATTCACAATAAATCAAATTCTTAAAGAAATAAGTCAAATGATCTTACAAACTGCCACAGGCAGAAAAGCATATGATAATGCTAAGTTTGATACAAGACTACTTTTTATGGAAGATACATTGATGGATCAAACTTACTCAGTTGCAATTATGTTATTATACTATGAAATTGTTAGGTATAAACTTGATAGTGGGCTTACTTGACAAATGATGAAATGGTTTGCCCATCTAACTGGAATACAAATCCTCGAACTGGCCAGTCAATTAATTCATAGATGGAGTTGGATAATTTAAATGTATTCTGGGATGAAAAAAAAACAAAAAGATAAATGGTTATTTCTGTAACAGATAAATTAACAACTGACAATAATAAAGGAAGAATAAGCCATAATTGTATGTTTGTACAATAAATATAAATAAAGGAAGAATGAATTTCATTTTTAGATAAAAGTATAACAATATCAATTTATATAAATGCTAAAAGCAATCTTTTCATATAGCAGCAGATACTGCATTAGCTAGAACACACATTATTATTCACAAATATTTCAATCCAAAGATAGTATTAACAAAGCCATTTTTAATTGGCATAAATTGGAGAACCAAATTGTAAAGATATATTTTAATGAAGAGATACAAGAACAGTCTTTTGAATAAGTTTCGTACTTATTCCAAAAAATCTTATTTTTTGTGTATGTATGACCTGTATTTTAGATTTATTTTGGTTTGTTCTTTTCATTTTTTAGGTATTCTCTTATGAACAGTACAGAAACTGAAATAAAAATGTAAAATATATTTATAAAATGTTAAAATTTTGCAAATTTTTCTACCAGAGATGATGAAAATTTCACTGAAATTTAAATATTAAAGATTTAAGCTGTTGAAAACTGAATAAGGTAACTACCCCCACCAATTTTATGCAGCATTTTTACTTTTTGTATATAAAAAAATATTTATGTTTGAGATCAAAATTTGTGAAATTCTTGGAAATTTTTACATAGATGATTTTTTTATTATTATGCTGTGTTGAAGTTTTGCTTCTTTCAAAGATAAAGGCATATGAATAAAGACAAAAGGAAAACTTTTCTTTACAGATACATTTTGTCCTCTGATTGACTTTATCAAGGTAAATATAATGAATTTATATTGCAACATGTATTTATAAACAGAAGTAAAATTTCTGCCCAACCAAAATGTAGGAAAATGAGTCAGGTCACAAATGTTTCAGCCTGGCCTACTCAACTGTGATAATTAAGAAAAAACTCAGAATAGAAATACAATGAATGGTATGCCAATTGTGATGATGATGTTTATAAGTTAAAAGGTTCTTTGCTAACAGTGTACTAAAATCATTTATTTTATCTTTGAACAGCATAAATCTAAATATAGATATAGCAAATATACACACACACCCACATACACAACAATAACAACAAAACAGCTAAGGAAAGGATCATTTGCATTGACTCAATGATCCCGACTATGGTCAACTATAAAATATATAAATATCATATCCTCTGATCACAGATTCTTAAAACACTGTCTTGCACCAACAATATATTGCATAAAGGCTTGCTACTGATATTACCAAGTCAATATTCTTTTTTCTTCTAGATAGAAGGGATTTTAATCAGTTGACTAAAAAGAGAGAAGTTTATTTAAGCAAGTGGAATGACAGACTTTGTTCTTCTATGACTATTACTATCACACTACTACAATTAGATGACTAAAATGAGTGACACAAATGTTATTGCTTTCCATTGGTGGATATTTTTATATTTCAATTTAAGTGACAGTACAATTACTACTTTTTAAATTTTTGAAGCTTAAAAAATGCTGTCAAAAGTTTTTCAAACAGGAACTCCTTCATAAAGAATTATTTTTATCAACTATTTCTGTTTTAATTAACTGCTCCCATTTCTAAGTTAATAGAAAACATTAATAGAACTTGGCCTAATGGATTTCATTAATTGTATTTTTGTTCTTTTATATAAATTTATTTATATAAATATTTTCTGTGCACATTTACATTCTACTGAATTGGTTTAACATTAGAAAAAAAAATAAATTTATTCATTTAAACATGAGGAAAACAAATATTTTTAAAATAAAAAATACTTTTATTTGAATGTTCCTGTATGTAATATTTTAAAAATATATCCTTTCTAAAAAGAAAAAAAGAAAAAAACAAAACAAATTACACATAATTTTAAAATTATAAGTTAAAGCAAAAAATTGGGTTTCTGGTTCCTTCAAAAGTTAATTTCAACTCAATACTTCTAAAGTCTCTATCTGAACATCAAAATTTTATTCACTAATTATTTTTTTTTTCCTCTCCCAATAGGAAAATATTTTTGCCTATCATCCAGTTCACACTCATTAGTGGTTCAAATCTATATTTCTAATGTCTCTGCCTGATCTCTGAAATCAATTATTTGTTTTTTTTTTTCTTCTCTTCCAGTGTGAGGTTTGTCTGTCATCTGGTTCATACTCCTCCTCTGTCTTTTGAACAGGAGTAGAGGCTTATCCCTTGTTTCCTGTTAGGATTGGGTTTCCAGTTCCTTCTCAAGTTTAGATCCATACTATACTTTTAATGTCCCTGCCTGAACTCTGAAATTTTATTCACTAATAAAATTTTGATCTCTTCAAGTCTAGAGTTAACACCACACAGTAATCCTTTACCTTGAGTGCCTTGTATTGTATAATTGAATTTTTTATTTAATTTTTTTTAATTTTAAGTAAATGGTTGATATTTTTAAACATTATATTTTTTTCACATTAAAAGATAGTTCAAAAGCACAATAGAGCATTGCATGCAGTACATTATATTTCAGCCTCTTTATTCACGTACAACAACCACATTTACAAAATAATATTTATACTTTAGAAAAATTATCAACAAATACAATTGATACAAAAATAACTATTGTTTTTAACAATACATGTTTTAAAAAAAAGAACATTTACTTCCCAAATATACTGAATTAAAATTTACTATAATTTTTGCTAGAATCTACTGCAATACAATCAGTTATTTAAAATACTTACACATTTTTCTACAGGCAATTGTTGATCAAAATAATAACAGTGGTAATGCTGATGATTGACAGATGCCAAAGCACACAGACTATTGAAACCAACACGAAACCCACTGTTAAAAAAAAGCATAAGATCATATATAGAAAATTAGTACACAATTATGTAGCAAATATAACTAAAAACATGAAATATCTTAAGCAGTAAATATATCAAATACTTACGCACCTTTTTGTTTGCCTCTCAAAAGTTTACAGAAAAAAACAGATGAATATTTTATTATTCACATTTTATGGGTCAAACCCAAGAAACATATCTAAACTCTCTTCAGAACAATCATCATCAATCAAACTATATAATAATTAATGTGTATTTATTTATGGTATATTTATATTTCCTGTCCCATCTGCAGTGGGAGGGGTGGTAAATTAACTTAAGTTAGTAAATTTATGAGTGACTACTTCCTTTAGTAACTATTAAAGATCTCTCACATGACCCCTTTGTTAGTTATGTTGTCTCAATGAGATCCCAAGTATGGTCCTCAAGAATTGTCAGTGGAAGACATTTACTCTATGGCAGATTTTGCCAGTTTTCTTCCATGTCTCACTGACACAGACTGCCATTGATATGAAAATAAAATTATACATCTGGAGTTTAGTACCCTGGCTGAATAAACTGCTAGATCATATTTCATATTGCTCTCATACATTGGAAGATACCTGCAGCTTTTCCAAATCTTTTCTCTATATCTTTCATCATGATTCATGAGAGTAAAACAGCAATGGTGAGAGCTTACAAAACAAGGAAAAATTTAAAACAGAATCCTTTTGCTCTATCAACAATTACTGATAGAAAAGTTTGAAACGACAAAGACACTACATGATATTCTTTCAAGTCGGAAATATTCCTTAGAAGCTGTGCACGCACCTCAAGTTATGGATAATAGTCTGTCAATAATTTGATCAAACATGCAACCTTGGTTATACAATAAAATGGAGGAACAATTGGAAAATTGCAACATATTTGTTTCAAAATATATGTTGTTGTTTTCATAATTGCTTACTTTGCATTATAATGGTTTTAAAACTTGTGTTCATTCATTTTCACCCTGTGTGTATATATATATATATATATATATATATATATATATATATGTGTATTCTAGGATATTAAAACAAAAACATGTTAAAAATCGCTACACAATAAGAATTATATTTCAACACTACAAATGCATCTCCTCGGGTGATCGTAAACTACTAGTGAGTGAACAAATACTTTAATTTCAAAAGCAGAATATTTCTTCTTTTTTTTTGAGGAAAAAAAACAAAATTAAAAATAGGCTTGTGGGCTTTACCATGATTAACCAATTGAATGTAACCTATGCTGAATTCAAACTCACCGAAAATAAATTAATATAGGTCATGACACAAAGTTGTCTGCATATAAATCCTAGACAATTTCATTATGGACATATATAAATGGCTACATTATTTCATAAGATGTACAGAAGTCTAGCATTCAACTTCCTTAAGAAGTAAAAGCAAAAGAGGTAGGGAGATAATTTAACATAATGCTAACTAGTTATATACTTTGTCAGCTTCCTACATAAATTTTTGTAGTTGATAAATAAAAGTTCCTTTAAGAAACTGTTAAATAACTTAATCATTTGAAAAAATTTTTTAAATTGGTTTAAAATTTTATTATTGTGTTATAATCTCAAGTTTATCAGTGCAACTATAACTTAGTTTTAGTGTGTTTCTGTTAAACATTTTACTAAGAGGGTTACTTTTAGGGAAATGTTTATCAATTAAATGGAGGAACTTCTGGCCTAACTTAGTACTAACCAATTGGTTAAATGGGGGTATATACCAAATGATTTTCCTATTTCTTTTCCTTAGATCAGTATTATCATATTTTCTATCCTTGATTTTAGTGTACTTGTAACCACTAGGAGACACATTTTTAGTGTCAAAAACATAATTGCCATTGTGTAGCAATTTTTAACATTTTTGTTTTACTATCCTAAAATAAATAATATTTAGCTCTACTCTGTAGTGAACCCTCTCTTAAATTAAATGTTGTTATCATTTTACATGGAGATATAAATATATCAGTAGTTTTCAAGAAATTAAATCAATTGATCTTTTAATTTGAGATTATTTCTTATTACTATAAAGCTTATAGTTAGTGGGTACATGTGTTTGAGTAGACACAACTGTTTTTAGACAGTGAAATTAATGTCAAATGACTTATAGATAAAGAAGATAGGCAAATGAATCACAAAGTGGGAAAAATTCTGCATAACATGTTTCATTCTCTAGAAGGACTTCATTTGACTGAATTAATATTTTTCTTGATGGAATTACATATGTGTAGAGAGGGGCTTATAAAAACAACAGTGTTGGTTATAATTATGACTGATAAGAAACACTGAAGATGTTGAAGCTTTGAAATTTTAGATTAATTTTTTTTTCTTTTTTTAGATATTTCTGAGCATAGGGAAGGTACACTTTGTTTAAAAGTGGTTTTCCAGCTTCATAAAAATGGCAATTCCTGTCAAAAGGCACATTTTCTTTAGAACTTCTGCTCTAAGCCAGTTGATATTAATCTCATGTTTCAAAAAAACAGGGATGTTTACTGAAGCAGATTTAAATATACCATTTATAGTAATAAGAAATATCTAAGTAGATAACAATTTAAAATTATTGCATTAGTATGTCTACTAATACCATTGTAACTTTGTATATAGGTATTCCTGTCTAATCAGAATGGTTCAGCTGCAAAATTGTACTTTCTTCAAAACCAACAATTTTTGCATCTATAAACTATAAAAACACAGAATTAAACTTACGGATGTTTACTGAGTAGCAAGCACTCCAAGCTAAGTGTCAGTCCAAATGTGGTAATAGCCTGCAAAAAACAGGATTGAAAATACAGTGGCAGGGAAAAAATATGTGTATGTGTGTGTATTCTCTTCTAGTGAAGAGAAATATTACTTTCATTAAGTCAATTAATGAAATATATAAAATAGAGCAAACTTGCCTGTGGAAAAGATTGATTCACTTGAGGTATTATCAAACAATGTCCAAATTCCAAAGGGCTCACATTAATGATAATCATATTTTCATCCTGGAAAAATAAAACAATTCAGCATGTGTGAGTGTGTGTGTGTATATATATATATATATATATATATATATATATATATATATATATATATATAAGTGAATATTGAAGTCAACACTCCAGAAGCAACAGGCTGTTTCATGGTAGGCACAATTAGCAGCCTGACAATTGCGCCTGGCATGAAACAGCCTGTCGCCTCTGAGTGTTGACTTCAATGTTCACTTTTATATTTATATTTACATACACTCTGTCTCTGATATTGAGCAGTTTATCCCATAAATATAGCATACCTTAAAACTATATTTCTTATATATATATATATATATATATATATATATATATATATAAACTGATTGTAGGTCAGAGTTGAATCCAACTAGGAATGGTTGTATTAAAAAATGCTCTAATGAACTGATCATGCAGAGTTCTAATTATTAAATATCAAAAATTAGGAATCACTTACACACCTGCTACCATGGTTTCAACTAGCATCTACTGCCTGATGACACCTTAATGGTTAAAACCATGGTAGTGAGTGTGTAAGTGATTCTCTCTCTCTCGCTATATATATATATATATATATATATATATATATATATATATATATATATACAGAGAGAGATGTTTGTGTGTGAGAGAGAGAGAAAAGTTCTGTTCTTATCATATTTTATGTACAGTCTAAGAACTGAGTCCCTTATGGTACTAATTTCCACACTTTACCTGCTAATAAGATTATTTGATTGTACCAGATATACTGCCTTTTGCATCTTGAATACTTAACCATGTAGCTTTTAATTTCAAATTAGTTGATAGCAAAATTATAAAAAATAACACCCTGAATGAAATAAAAGGTTCAGTTTCAAATTCCCTGATGTTTAGTAGATGTGGAGGGTACACTAGTTGAATTATTATGATGAAACAAGAAACATTACTATTCACAATTATGGATGTCTTCATTGATAAATGACAATATTTGTTCTCTAATATTTTATGCTATTCTTTTTTGTAATAAACAATTTTTGCTCTAGAAGTTGCGTTGTCCTTTTTCTTTTTTATGCAATAGTGTAGATTATGTTTTGAATACATTTTCAAAAATATTCACTTTGTTTTATGTCAGGTCACTCTATGAGTGCCACCGGTACTATGTAAGTCAGTACTACAGATTAAATGGCAAGACATCATGAACAATTTCAACACTTAAAAAATGAATAAATTACCTACTCAGAATGATCATGATGATTAATTTTAATTCTAGAGAAAGACATTAATTTAAATAAATTGAAAAATATACAAATAATATTTTTTTCCTCATTATACTGTTTTAATCAATTTAATAGTCTTTTGTATTGATATGTATTTTTAAAAAGTCACTTATTAACAACGTTAAAACATGGTTAGTCAAATAGGGATTGTTTATTACAAATAGGTTTACTGTACATCCTGGTTTGAGTGGTCTGCTTCTTGTTCTGGACTATCAGTATTTTTGTGTTAGTCTTGAAGTTTGTTGTGTACAAACATTTAATCATCCATGAAAAGTAAATCCATAATAAAAATAGAAAACTGTCCCTATTTGAGACTTGAAAATTATGGTAAGCTTAAGGAGAAGAGCTATTTTACAGTCTTATCACTAATTGCCATTGTAAATTTAATTTGGTAGGTCAAGTTGGAAACAAATATTTTTAAGGTTCACCAAAAATTCAGGAAAAGATAACTATTTGAAAACAAGTGTAAAATGCACTCTTCTCTTCAACACTTGTAAAATCTGTGAATATGAAGCTGTGATAAAAATTCTTGATCTAACCAAGAAGCCTTTCCAAAAAAATGTCTGCTGTTTAGTTATTTGGTCAGATTTTTGGAAATATCCCCCTTGCATATTTACTAAAGTTAGTTTTGAGCAGAACAAAGACAAACCAGTGGAAATGAGTAATAGATATTGCAGTAAAATTTTGTGCAGGGTACCCAGCCTAATTATTAACTAAAATTACTTTCTAATTCTTTGAAAAATTCCACTGAAATTCCCTGATTTTAGGACAGGCAGTAGTAAATACATAGCTATGGTAGAGCACAGCTAAAAAGACAAATGGACAAAGAAACACACATAGAATATAATCTTTCTCATCATATGCAATGTAAAATCTCTCCTCAAAGTACAATGCAGATTTTGTATGCACTAGGTTTGCTACAGAGCTGGTTTTTGAAGAGCATACTTTAAAGAATGATGTCATGAATTGCATGCCAATAGAAGTTGCCTATTTCTCATGTTTTTCACTTTCCATGTGACTGCTAAATGCTTGTCTTCCCATATTACTCAATGGAATGGTCTTTTGTCAGCAGCAGCATCTAGTTTTACTAGTATCATCTTTCACTGGTACAACCCATGAGATAAATTCAGAATTAAAATTCAGAATTGAAAGAAATAGATGTTTTTATTCAAATTTTTTAAATCCTAGAAAACAAATATGTATTACATAAATAACATTTAACATTTATTTTCAAACAATTTTCAATTTAAAAAAAAAACATAATGAGAATGTAATATGATACATGTCAATTTGCATTTGAAAATTCCCTGATTTATCTGACATAAAACCAAAATTCCAGGATAATTTCTCAATTTTTCTAAAAATATGACTGTTTTAAATTCTTGATTTTCCGGTTAGCTGTGAACCCTGACATGGTATAAATAAAAATTGTTATTTGCATTGACATTTTACACTTGTAAACTATGAATAGCTTTTGATTTCAGGTAAATAAGTAATTACTGTAGCAATTTTTTACTTGTTCATACTAATAACCAGAATAAACAGATTTTCATTTTTCTTTGTTTTGCTGTCATTAATTTTCCAAACAGTTAAATTACTCTGAATCAAATGCTATTATGAAAATTAATATGATTATGCTTAACTTTTTATCTAATATAAATAAAAAGAGTAACATTAACGTTTTTGTCACATTATAATGTCACAATTCAGACAGGAGAACAGCTGTTGTTATATGATATCAGTATAGTTTTTTGTTTGATTACTTTTTTGCACAGTCTACAAGGATATCTGTCACCAGATTGACTTTTTAAATAAATTCTGTTATACTCATTAAAATTAGAAGAATTCATACAGGATTACCAATGGTTAAAACTAATGATCACCAAGCTGTCAGTAACACACCAATGATTGTAACCAAACTGTTGCCAAAACACCAATAGTGGTCAAAATGCTGCCAACACACCAACTGTCACCAACACACCAATGGTGGTTAAACTGTCACCAACATATCAACAGTGGTCAAACTGTGCCAACACATGAATAATGGTCAAACTGTCGCCAAACCATCGCCAACATACCAACAGTGATCAAACTGTCACCAACACAGCAATGGTGGTCAAAGTGTTGCTAACACACCAACAGAGGTCAAAGTGTTGCCAATACATCAACAGTGGTCAATATTTTTGCCTGGAACTCAAATCTAGTGATTTATATTGGCACCCAAGATGCCAACAATTTGGTCAGATCAAAAATTTGCCAATTTCTTTATCAACAAGCTTGAGACATGAGTCTACTTTTTATTTTCAGCAGAAAATACATGTAACACATGGGTATTTCATTCAACAAAGAATGTGACTTTCATTGCTACACTCACATATGCTAATATCAACATGTAGTATGATAGCTTAATATTAAAAATGATACTTACATGTTTCAAGACATCACTAAGAGACTTACTGGATGGAGTAACTGGTTTACTCGCTGACCAATGTGATCCAACTGGATGCAAAAGTATTTCTTGTTTGCTGATCTTTGTAAAATTGAATTTGTTTGGATCAAATTTTTGGTTGATATTTTGGATATCTTGTGGTTTTCGTCTTTCTGTAAATCTGAGTGGATTTAACTGAAACAAAAATGTAAATAAATTTGAACTTCAATATAGACAGAGAGAAAAAAAGTCCTCGCAGGCTAAATTCAGCAATATGTCTTTTCAAAGAACTCATAAAGCAATAAAAGATAGAGGAGCTGACTCAAAATCTCAACAGGAGTCTGTCTTTTTCTTCTTGAATAAAGCTAAACTAATTTATTGAACTTATTTACCTGTTCTTTTCTTCCTCAAACACACTTGCTGCTGTTTTTTCTGTGGTTCTATCAAATCCATAAACAATGAAAAATAATCAAAGATCCAGTTTATGTTATTCTAGTAATATTATTTTAAAAAATAAACGATAAAGTTAAATATTGACTATTGAATCAATGACTGAAGCCTGTTAGCTATATATCAAAGCAACAATAGAAGCCTGTTAACTATCAAAGCAACAATAGAAGCCTGTTAACTATCAAAGAAACAATAGAAAATTGTTAACTATATATCAAAGCAATGATAGAAGCCTGTTAGCTACCAAAGCAATGATAGAAACCTGTTAGCTATCAAAGCAATGATAGAAGCCTGTTAACTATATATCAAAGCAACAATAGAAGCCTGTTAACTATCAAAGCAACAATAGAAGCCTGTTAGTTACATATCAAAGCAATGATAGAAACCTGCTATATATAAAAGCAACAATAGAAGCCTGTTATATATCAATGCATTAGATATGAATAAAATTTAAATATGCATCTTATATGACAGTTTATACTATTTGTGTATAATCCACTTACTTTTTAAACACTACACATATAAAGCAAGAATTAAGGAATCAGAATCTTTTGTCTAAAGCTGATTAACACATTACTCTCTACTGTTGCCACTATCATCATACACCTTTTTCTCATATTTCATTTTCATATATGCTACATCTGAATATATGATCAGCCATTAAGCTCAATATATACATTTTTTTGCTAATATAAAATATTCCATGCTCGCCAGCCTAAGTTGATATCACTTTATTCTCTACACAGTATAATAAAAATCATTAAAATTAAATTTCAAGCCCTAAACAAGAATGTTAACTTTTACTACTTTCAGGAATATGTATTTATTTGCCTATCCATGAGATCAAATTTTATATAAAGTAGGGCTTCACACACTTATTTGTGGGCAGAGGCTAAACTTAGTCCTATTCAGTCAGTCCAACAAAAGCACCATAATGATCCATGATCTGCCCCTTTTATGCAACTTTGAATCTTCAGAGACTAAATGTATTACTTTTGTACACTGTCTCGCTCAAGGCAATACAAAGTCGATTCTAGTATTTTCAAGCTGTTTACTAATCTTATAACTTAAAATTTTTTAAATAATTTTATATATGAAATGCAAAGAAAAATCCATATTGAGAATTTTGTTTTTAAAGTTGAATGTCACTACCCAATCATAACAATAACAAAATTAATGGCTAAGTTCATAGGTCAAAGAAAGCCAGTTCCATATAAAGGTCAAGAATATTTGCTCAGCAGTTTATGACTTAGAGGGTGGGGTTAACACCAATGTCAAGTGTTACTTTCCATTACACTAATATCTTCAACAATTTAAGAAAATATCAGAAATCAAATCTTAAGTATGCTAAAAACTTCCTTCAATCATTTTATATAGCCCCCACCACCACCACCACCACCACTCCCATTATTCCTCAAAACTTACCTGTGCTATGTAACCTCTTCTCCCAGGTATAATTCTAGTTTGCAGTGAGGTTAGTTGGTACTTGAAATATCCATTAATCATTGCTTCTGTCCATTTTGTACGAATTTCCTGGTCAAACTGAAAAACCATGGACAAAATACAATTATATATATTGTAACATCTTTGAGCATGAATTTCATTTGGTTGCACAGTGTGGCAGAAATACCTCCCACATAATGGTAAGAGATTAGCTAGATGAAGACACCACTACCACTAATGTATGTAGGAGATATGTGGGAGCTATTTTTGCCACACCCTGTATAATTTTCATAATCATACATTCTTACTGAATTGTTTCATTCTTCTAAGATAGACTTATTATGGAGAAGTGTGTTTATAAAATGCTATTTTCAGATTATTATTCCTTCTTAGGTTTGACAAATAACTTACCAATTTCATTCCTTTAACTTGGATTATTTCTTTGTGTACTTTTACAAATAAGAAAATTCTCTTCTCTATTCACTGACCTTCCTTTATAGAAGGAATACAGAAAAGTTCTCAACTAAAGCCTTTTCCCAAATGACCAAACTGTGAAGTAGAAAATTATGGCTTACCTCATTAAATTTTGCATAATCCATCTGTTGGGCAAGATGAACAACCCAGATGAAGTTTATGTTATAAACATGGCCATTGCTAATTGTGAGTGTTGCAAGGGCTTATAAGCTACCATTTTTTTTTTATCAGCAACATAGTGATGGCAGTATGCTAGCTATGTGAGTATGAATTTTGTAACCTCCATTTACAACCAATATCTTCAGAAATTATCTTTCTTCAACATTTTTTTTATCCCTTCTTGTTCAGACCAAGAACTTTTCAGCATCCTCTTGTTACATTCTTCCTAAAACAAGCTCTTCTTCTGATTCTGGCTACACTAATTTCCACCACTGACCAGATGTGAATGCTCCAAAACCCAAGACTGAAATAAAATTCCATTAACAGTATAGGCTCCACACATAGTTTCTGTTTTTACTCACACACTCAAAGACAAATACAATCCATAATTTCCACCCAATAGCACCCACTTCCACCTAAAGAAACAAAATAAAAATTGTAGCCAATCTGAGTCTAAGAAAAGGAGATAAAAGCCTATCAAAGGGGCATCTTCAGTAGTCAGACAGCACAACAGCCCAGATTCACAACGCTCATCAGAATGCAACCTACCATCTCCAAAAAACAACTCGCCAAATGCAGTCGCCACAGTAAAGTCTCAACTCACACCCCCTGATCTACTTTATGCTTCTGAAAACAACTTTTACAATTCCACTTATCTCCGTCTTTCAACGAGAGACATTTACACTGATTTACCATTTGTTATATTTTTACATTAATACAATTGTTTATTTCTTAAACACCTGTTGTTTCTTCTTTGTTCTGCCACCATATGTTTAATACAACAACTGGAGTCAAAAGTATGCAACCAGATCAAGAAAATGGACTACAGTGCATTTACTCACCACAAAATGCAATGAGCAACCATTCTCAAACTGAAAACAGACCTGAAATCCACAAGTGCCATAATCGCTAATGCACTTCAAACAGAACTACAGGAAATACTGACTGCTCTCAACTGTGCATCTGTTGGGATTGTGCACGCATCCAAGACATCAACAGATTACAAACTGCTCATGCGACTACAGTCCTTATGTGATGCTATGTCCAACGTAAAATGTTTCCATCCAGGTAATGATGTCAGTCGGTTCATAACCAATTTGAACAAGGCATACACTGTTTTTTCTCTCATGGGGGCTCATGAGTGAAAAAATTAAGGCCTGGGTTCTGAACATATATCGCCACCTCATAAAGATGATGGACAGCCACTACTCAGCAGGTGGTATAGCAAGCAACACCCTACCTTGACCATGGCATAAAAACTGATACTATGCCCAACCTAACCACATATATATAATGTACATGCAAAAACAGCAAGGTGTTCATCAGGATCTCTCTGACCTGAAGCATTAAATACAACAGATGCATGGCCAGAACACCTCAATGAGACTGGAGCACATAACCCTGAGACAGAACCAGAAATGCATGCCCACAAGCAGCTCTAATAACCATTCTGTCTGCAGAAACTACATGAGAGACCTCACATGTTTCAAGGGCTAAAATTGCCTTTACTTCCACCCACCTCATACTCAAAACCTACAATGGTCACAGAACAACCTGAAGACACAAATCAACTTTAAGAAACGGATTTTTGGTCAGGACCAGAAGAAATGTGATGGCTCAGTTCCTAGTCCAGAACATTAACAAACTCCATCACCTCTTCCAGCATCCACACTCGCACACATCTCCCTTCACTATTGATGATTTCACTTTCTCCGAGATAGGCATAGTAGACTGAGGGTGCACCACTTGCATCAAACCTATCTCCTGCATACCTGAGCTAGCAAGGAAACACATGCAAGCATCAAACATGCACATAAATGGAATCAGCAACAATGTTTCTATCATTGGCAAAATAATCAGAGATATCAGCATGGGAAATAGCTCAAGCTCACCCACATTTCAGAACATGTAATTACTGGTCACTAATGCTACTGTACCAATCCTTGTCAGCCAGAACATTTTTTGTCATGATATACCAATGTTATGCACCATAAACAATTGAGATGCCAGAGTTGAATTCCACTAAGCCTTGCCATCAGGGGAAGTAACCCATACACCACCTCTGATCTCAGTCACTAACTTGGAAACAGCTCACACCTTCATATATGGAGTCTAACACATCACAGGTGTTATGGTGACCTATCTACATTAGAATGAACTCTTCCTCCTTCATAAATACTAACCTGCGATACTTCTGAAGCAGGCAGTTGGGACACAGTGTAACCTGACAGTTCGGATGGACACTTCTATCTGCTGCCTAATAACACTCTTATTTTGTATATATGTTCTGTTATTTCAATACACTTGTTCAACCTACCTTCTTCTTTCTGTGTCTTTCTTTCTGGCCCCTAACAGGCCACAACAACAGGCCAGCTTATGGTGAAACCTCAGGTCAATATCCAGAGCTTAGAGCAAAAATTGGACTGCCTTAGAAAAAACATAGGCATAATCCTCGCCACTCACCCCAACTGCAATGAACTAGGCCACAGCAGTCCTTCTCATCAAATATGACAATATCATCAGTAGTGAGGACAAACAAAGCACATTCATTAAGCCAGTACACATACCGACTAATGACCAGTCCCACAGCCAAAAACAACACTCAATCATGCAGGTGCTAGAACCTGATGTTGAAATTTATTGCATGGCCACTGAAGGCATCATTGAACTCTGCTCCAACCCAAAAGACTTCAACAGCCCTGTCTTTGCTGTCAATCTCCACAATGGATACTGGCAAATCCCCATAAATGAATGGGTCTGCCACAAAACTGCATTCACGTGGAAGGATTGATGTTACCAATATACCCATCTAGTCACATTTTGAATCATGAGGTCAATTGTGAAAATAACTGAAAATGATGTCTTGCTAATTATGATAAAACTGATATTGAATAAAAATGCCTTACTACTGGAAAATCTTAGTTGCACTGAACTGATACAATTCCAAGAAATAACAATTCAGCTACAAGTAATAATGTCAGTTATTTTCAATGGCTGATTCAAATCAATTAAGAGACCAACAAATAAAACCCATGTAAAAAGATAATACTTACTACATTCTACTTATCAATGGTAAACTCTCAAGGTCATTCTTCTCTTTTTTTCATTCTCTACCTCTACCTGTAACTTCCATTTTTTTTCTTTCTTTCTTTACATTCTTCTTCTAGTTCTTAATTCATCAGTTCTTCTCTTTTTTAGTTTTACAATTCAATTTTTTTATTTCTTTTTTCTTTATTTCCTTTTTCTATTCTTCAAATTCATCAACATTTTCTTTCCTTTCCTTCATTATTTAATTTCAACCTAATTTTGATTTACTTTGTAACTTTTTTTAAATAGTTTTACTATTTAATTCTTTCTTATCCTTCCTTTCTATTCTGTCTCCATTTCCAGTTTTCTCTCTCTCTCTCTCTCTCTCTCTCTCTAAACTCTTTCCTTTATTTTGGTCTCCTACTTTTCTCTTATTTTTGCAAATAGGATTTTGTATTCTGAAGAGTAACAACTCATAGAAGCAGACATAATGGCTTTATTTTCAATACAGACACAAACTAATAGAATAGAGGAACAGAGATAGGATCTAAGAGAAGTTTATAGGTTTATATTATCATTCAATAAAAATGTTTGTCACATGTTTACCTAATTATGCATGTATATATGCATTTAAATATATTTGATATTAATAACAACAAATTTCTAATACAACAAAAATAACAAGGCTTACAGCCACATCACGTTGAAATACCAGTTTCCATATGATCACCGGTTAAGCAACATTGAGCCTGGTCAGTACCTAGATGGGTGACCACTTGGGAATATAGTGCTGTAAGCTTGGATTTGCATGTGATATAATGGATAATGGCTTAGAATTGTTAATTGGACAACCGAATTCCAATTCCTGTTGAGTTTGTTATATTCACTTATGCACAAGTATTCTTGAGAAGTATGAATTCATCTCTTCTCCCCCTAGCTAGGGGTTAATTATTAAGATAGGTATCACTAAACTATTACTATCACAAAAGAAATTCTGACAATCTAAAAATATTTTCTGGCTTTAAATAACCTACAAAGGGTTGATAAGCTGTAGAAAATGAATGAATCAATCAATAAAAATATCAAATCTGACAAGCTAACTTCACATAAGATTTCCTGAAAATGAAATAAAAAATATTATGATTTGATCCTTTCAATAAATTTGGTTGCCCAAAACTTCAAAGGTTCACATCATTAAATTTTCTACATGATAGGAACTTTTTTTAAAGCAAGAGAATAACCCCTTTTCCAATTTTTTTTTTTTTGTATTTTAACAATCCAACATCTCAAAATCAACCTTGAAAGCTTAACAATATTTTTTTTAATCATTTTTCCCCAAGCAAGGCAAGAGTGCCACTACTATGCAAGAGATTACAGAAAGTGAAAGGAAACACTGAGTATAGGAAGAATTGAGGAAAAGATAAACAGGATTCAAGACAACTGAAGATGGCAATTGATGTTGCATTTAAATTTTTGAAGATTGTATTTATCAAGGAAGCAAGTAAGCAGAAGGGAGTTCTACTGTTGGGAAGTGCGAGAAAAGAAACTATTGGAGTAGAAGTGGTTATATTTAACTCTTATCAAGAGTAAAACGGTGGAAGTTAGATGCCAATCTAGTAGCACACTTAAATTCATGTAAGTCAAGGCACCAGGGGGGAAAGCTCATCAGAGCAGTTGCCATGAAAATATTTGTAGAAAAGGTAGAGAGAAGCCACATCACATCTGTGAGAAAGTGACAAGTAGAGATGCCAAGTCAGGATTGATTATATTGCAGATCATTCCTTGGATTTTGTCAAGGACCACAGCAGGGGCACCAGACCAAATATAGCAACAGTGTTCAATGCACAGACAAATGGTAGATTTGTAAATGTGCAAGGACTCTGACGAGAAAAACCTTCACAACACAATGAACCAACCTTCCTTGCAGTAGATACAACTATTGATTCAATGTAATTGTTCCACTTCAAGGCAGTTGAAAACATGAGGCCAAGAAGGTGCAGTGAGATGCTCTCCTGTGCTCATGACTGGCAAGAAAGTTTCCCTATGGTGGTTAAATGAGAGCAGTTTAGTTTCAGAGGCATTAAAATTTACAAGCCATTTCCTGTTCCACTGATTGGAGGTCCTTTTCAAGAGCAGCAGTCATGTTAACATTATTGGTTCTGATGGATTTGCTATAGAGACAGGAGTAAATGGTAGTATCATTTGCATAAATGCCTATTTGGGAACTGATGACATCTAAAAGATCATTGATGAAGATCAAAAATAGCGTAGGACTTGACTCAGGATAGAGCCTTTGGGGACATATGCATTCATGCGAAAGGATCTGGAAGTAAGTCCGTTCAGAACAACCTTCATTTCATGATTTGATAAGAATTATTGGATTAAATCAAACTATCATCCTGTAATACTGTATCCCTGATGCTTACCTAGAAGACCAGCATGCCAAACCCTGTCATATGCCTTTGAGATATCTAGAGCCACAACCCAAGCTTCACTATTATTATCAAGAGCTTGATATACATATTCAGTGATGGCCATAAGCACATCAGCAGTAGACTGGATAAAACAGAACCCTTATTGTTTATCAGAATAATTTTGTTTTCAGAATAATTGTCCTACTTAAATAAATATATTTCATGTCTGATAATTTTCTATAAAAAAAAAAATGAGCAAGTTACACTTTTATATGGATGCTTCCAATTTGTGTAGGAATGTTTTCTAAAAAACATCTCCTCTACAAATTTATAGACAAATCATACAAATGCATATTGGGATTTCTTCCTAACCATTAAAATTGACCACTTCTTGGTCTCATAGGTCATAGTTTTGTTCTTTCTTGTCTTGAAATGAGAACATTATAATTACTCAACTGTATTCCTCTTGCATGTTAACAGCATTCTTACTTTGTGAACTGCTTACCTTATTAATGTTGCTTTGCATATATATTGTTTGCTTAGTATTATTTTGCCCAGTTCTTTTTCTTTCATTTCTTATTATTTATTGAAAAACTACTGCGCATTTTTGCCAATTACACTTAACCATGGCTAATTATTTCAGCATATACAATCATCAATATTTTGCCTTTTCTTTCATATTTGGATTTATGATAGGAAATTAATAGTTAACTGCTATTTTAAAAATAGAGCAGAAAAAAAATCAAAATGGTCTAAATACTTAATGAATTCAGAATTTAACATTATAAAAAAAAAAATAATAATTAATAAAAAAGTGTAAAGAAACAAAATAAATATTATAATCATCTTGGTTTGTCATACACATACTTTTTAGAGAGGTGTATTTTAAAGAAAGTCAGACAGTTTATGAAAATTTTTTACATTTGTCTGAATTTTTCTATTTTTAGAATGGGCTATAAAAGAACCACCAAAAATATTTCAGTCAACTTGGACTGTTTCAAATTCATTTTTTAAATTCAAAAAAATATATACTATTTATATTTATCCAAACAAAACATGAACCACTGTCCACAGATTTAAAGTCAAAATTGATAATCAGAGTCTCTTTGAATTGTTATATAAAGAAAAGAGTCAGATAATTTTTTGGTTTTTTAAAAGAAGGTAAAGAAAATTTTGGACAAGAAGGTAATATACCAAGATGCACCAGTCTGAAGGTACTGTAATTGTCGAAGGTGAAATAACCAGATTTTTCAACCAACTCAGAAGACGAAGTGTAATGAAAATATTGTCTTGAAGGCAGAATGATAAGGACCCAGAAGAGAAACCAATTTTTGGCTACCACCTAAGAAGAATATATAAAAAAGAACTGAAACCTGTTAATAGAACTGTGTTCTATAAAAGATTATTTTTTTTTTTTTACACCAGTGGTCTAAAATTTCCAAAGCTACCTTCATTCTGTGATTTTTTTCATTTATTAGGTGGGTGCCCCTTTTTTTTTTTTCAAAGAGTTATTTTTTGCTTTATTCAAATTTTGTATTGCCTTATCAAAGTTTTTTTTTTCCATTTTTCAAAGATTGTTTCGCAAATCTTTTAAGATCATTTATATATATTTTGATATGTTATCCTGCCTTGTCTTTTTTTAATAAAATATACAAAAATTTTTTTGTGCAAGTCTATCTTGTAAAATATTGTATTTTGTTATATTGTTTTAATGTTTTGTAATAAATGTTTGTTCCTTTTAAATTTTGCATATTAGTTACAAGTCTTGTTTTTGTATGCACCCTTGTTAATGTTTGAGAATAAGAGAGTGGATGTTCTCTCTTCTCCAATTCCCTCCCAGGGAGAAAATTTTTTTTTAACATTGCTATTGCAAACTGCAACTCATTATAAACATTTTCAACAGTTATCTCTTGAGTTTTATACATACAAATAGAATGTAAGAAAATGAAGGTTTTAACTGAAAATGCTAATTATTAAATTTTATAAAAAAAAGTTGTTTTTTTTTTTTAAATTTGTCTAGGATGAAATGCATTGTACAAGAATTTTTTCACTATGTCATTCATTTGCCTTAAAGCCAATTGTATTTTTTTTTCTTCAAAATTTTAAGTTAAGCAAAATTCAAACTAAAAGCAATCAACTCTGGAACAATTTGTAACTTTTAGGATTTCTTGGATCAGGTAGTAAAATACATATCATACATAATCAGCAAGAATTGGTATGAGTGATACAAATAGAAAAAAAAAACCTAAGACATTTTCTATAAAAAAAAGAAAAAAAAAAGAAAAAAAGATAGATACCTGAAAATGCACAGGGAGCACATGGTCAAAACTACTGTTAACATCTATGAAACAAAACTGATAACACTAGTTTGAATGCATAATTGTTTGCTAATTTCTATATGTAATACTAACTAATTAGATAGTTAAACTATTGTTGGTGAAGAAAGTGGAATGAATGAGCCAAATTTAAAATCTAGCCTCGTCTGTTAGATTCACTTTCGTACTAATGTCATTGGGAAAGGCATGAATCTATCTCTTCTCCTTCTATGGACTATATAGCAGAGTAGATTGGACACTCTAGCCTTGCATGGCAGATAGACTGAAAGAAGGAAAACTGTAAAGTCAAAATTGTGCAGAAGGCGACAGGAAACCACTCCACTACCTTTCTCAAGAATTCATAGATAATATGTGGATAGATATAATTGCCTTCATTTTGAAGGTACATAGAAAAAATTTGAATGCCGGGAAAAAGGATTCTGTATTTTCAAGATTGAATGAAAATGAAAGCAAATCAAATTATGAAATATAATGGAATGCAATGTTTATTGTTAGGAACTTCAATGCACAAGTTTAATACATGCATTGCAAATTTGAGAAATTATAATGGTTAATAATGAATCATTTGTACATAAACATTTGTATTTTTAATAACAGATTTAACTCAAAACTTGACAGATAAAATAAGATAAAGAGAAAATGAGGAGACATTTTTTCTTGCTTTTAAGTAACTGATAATATGGCTATGAAAGATACAGTTTGGTTACTTACATATAATCAAGAATGCCAATGTTCTGGTTCTGTCTAATTGCGAAATCATAACATCTGTAATTAACAAGTTCTAGAGTATTTTTTCAATTTGTACAACGCTTTTTACTAGTTGCATTTTATTTATTGACCATATTCATTTTTTGATAAACTTTTTAAAAGATTTGCATAATGCAACTTTTTCTCTTGATTCAGAGTAGATCACTTTAAAAAGTATACAACAATTTAAAGGAAACCTTCACAATAGGTGTAAGAAGAAAAAAATTAAAATTTTTGTTAATAATTGCAAGTATGATGGTTAGAATACAAAAAAAAAATAGGCAATGTTAAAAAGAAAA